GCAAACCACAAAAATTTTCACCAAAAAGGGATGGAAAGGTTTAGAAGATGTAGAAAGTGTTTAAGGTTAGCAACCCAATCGGTCACCTATCTAACAACCGTATCCCTTTGATTTATGGACAGAACAGTTAGCGAAAAGGCTCCAATGAACAACTAACAAAGCTCCACAAGTAGAAAAACTCCTATTCTACTCGCATGCATCAACAAAGCACAAGCTTGTGTGCAATGCACTAATCTTCGAAAAGAGTAGAAAAAGAACAAAGAGTTTCCTCTCGTCTCATTTGAAATAATTCATCAAAGGTACAAATAAAATGCTGGCCAAACACCCCTATTTATAGTAGAGGGGGTCGAAATTCTCCTATGAAGTAGGAGAAGAGTTTGATCTCTAACTCTATTCCTACTTTAAAGAACTAGAAATCAACTTAACCTCTAATTGACAACTTGTGTCTTATCTATTAAGGCAATGTATCTAGACACCTTTATAGACTTAAGACACACTAGTCTAATGAAAATAAAACTCCAAATACAAAGAGATATTCTCTCAAAAGAATCTTATCCTTATCTTGAAAAGAATCTTCCTGAGTTGTCAACTCTATCAATATCTTCTTTGTAGAGTAATCATAGCCATCCATTCTTGATCTAATCTCCATCCAACGGTTGAGAGTAGACACCAAGGAATAGAATTCTTATTTTGAATAAACTCTAAATTAGATAAAAGAGAATCATATCAAATCTCATCCTTCCATGTGGTGAGATTTAAATGATCTTATCTCTAAAAGATAGGGAATCTTTCAAATCTTATCCTTCCACAAGTGTGATAAGATTTAAATGATTTTATCCCTAAAAGATAGAGATTCCAACTCCTAAAAATTAGGAGATACGGCTGGCCTCCCTTGCTTGGTTTGTGGGCCGAAATTTCCTTCCTCAAATGGGCCTTGTAACACATTAATAATCTTGGGCTTGTAACTTCCAGACTTGACATTCTCTTGAGCTAAACCATTTGATATAAGATTATTAAGTGCACTCCTCATTATTTTACTTCTAGCTTGAGTCATTGGGCCTCCAATGTTGGATAATGGATCTTGAGCCACTCCTTGAGCTTGGATAGTAGTTGGAACCCGAACACCTTGATCATCTTGGACTTGATTACCATGGATGTTCACATCAAGGAAGTTCGCTTCGAACACACTTCTCGAGCTAGCAACCTCTATGCGAATACGTTAGCGAAATCGGCATTAAATATAAATAGACTGTTTGTTTGGGATATATATTTCATGTGTAAAAATGGTTGTAGCCAGAGTATTTCCATATCAATGCCAAAGATATTGTTTGATATCAGGTTTCACACCACAGAAGAAACTACTGAACTCCATCGATAGAGTTAAAATAGTGGTGTTAGAGGAATTAAAAAAAATGAAGAGGACTCCTGCTGCAGAGAAGGGAAATGAAATTGATGTCAATGCGCTGATGCAAAGACATTTGCGGAGTCTAAATCAATCAAGGTTGAGGGAACTATTTCACTTTAGCTAATTATTTTGGTACAAATATAAATCAAAATACGTATAATATAGACTACATAATCACAAAATTATTTTGATTTTGTTTCACAATTGTCAAGTATTAAATCATTAGTTACATGATCATTCATTTGTCAAATCACATGATAAAGTACAAATAAATATAGAATAAAATAACAACGACACCAAAATCAAAATTGTAACAAAACAAAACCAAAATCATAGTATTTGGTTTTATCATTTTTACAACACTAAAATCAAAATTTAAAACAAACTTTTACGAAAATTAAAATTAATATCACAAATTATAAATAGAATGTCCATGTACACAATTTTATCATGTTTGCCTAATGGAAGTTTTCAAACATGATGTGTCTATTGTATTGGATTTTTACTCACACAATGATCTATTTCATTTGTAATCGAATGATTTCATTTTTCCTTTTTGGAAGTCCATTAGGTAAAACATTTCACATATGTATGCATTCCTAGTCAAATATTTTAAGATTTTCCAAACATTCTATTTAATTTAAATTCACCGTAACTTATCACTTTTAATAACGAGAATGGTATAAAATGATTCGATAAAAATACTGGTCGCGCAACGCGCGACATGTAAAAGACTAGTTCTACGAAAAGGGAAGAGGCCGCTAGGGAGGAAAAATACAATTTTGGGGAGATCGTCTACCTTTTATGCAGTCCTTGAAGTGATTATATGATGGAATTTAGACGAGGAATGTGCCGCTGAGTCAAGTAATGATGCTCGTACTTTTTCTGATCGTTATTTTAAGATATTTTGAGTTATCTTAAATATTATTTATCATGCTTATATTCAATTAAAAATAAAACCTTAAAAATGTATTTATATTTTTATAAATGTATTTTGTAAATTTTTATTTTCAATTGAAAAAACACAGCAAATAAAAAATTAGGAAAAATAAGAATACCTTATTTGAAAGTCTTCTCTAATGAGTACTCTGGCCAGCCAAAGTTGGTTTGCAGTTCCACTAGATGATAATGTACTCTTTTTTTTTTTTTTTCTAACATACAAAGGATGCACACGATTAAGGATTGCAAAGTATCCCTGGAAATTTGGGATGAAACTAGTCTACTACATCTAAACTCTTCATAGTATGAGACCGGCCGGCTCTTAGGTGGGGCAAAAATATTATATGTAAATGTTGTTGGGACAAGAATCTGATAATTCTAAAATTTAAGGGATTTTAAATTTTAAAGAGTATTTCAAAATATTTGAGCTGGGGCAAGCTGAACGTAACTATGCCATTAGTATCAGATGAAGGTATTAAGAAAATATGACTTCCAAGTGGACACAAGAGTCTATTAATTTTGCGAAAGTATTCACAATTACGCTTAAATTTCGTCGAATATGCTTAATCCGAAAGGATTTGTCAAAGAACGTGACTCTTAAAAATAAGCGCCTAGAGAGTCAATGTTTAACTACATATTCCTAAAGTTTAAGTCCCAACTCCTAAGCAATTCTGAGACCATATAAGCCATAAGGCTCCCAAAAAAAAAATTTTATATACTGAGGAGGCCGAAGCCTAGATTACAAAAGCAACTCGCCTCGAGTTGGAGGCGGACAATCAAAAGATAGTGCTTCTAACACTATACTAGGAGGGGATGACAAAACGTGTACCACAGGATTACAAGAAAATCCTAATTTTGCTAAGGAGTCTGCAATTCCTCTCCCCTTTTATGTAGGAAGCTTCCACCTGCCATTGACAACTGAGCAAGAGGCAAATTTTGCGGAGGACATTACTGGAGTCAAAAGAATGATCGTCCTCCGTTATTGTCTTGAATGCTTTGATGCTATCCATTTGCAGCTGGATTTTCTTGAAACCAAGCTGTCAAGCTATTTTCAGTCCATAATAAGCTCCCCAATAGTCGGCCTCTAAAGGGGAACACGAACCAAGTTTTGCTGCGAAGCCAGAGAGCCATAAACCTTCATGATTTCTTAGAAGGTCACCAGCCGTTGCAATTTTTGTGGCTGAGCATACGGCTCCATCCGTATTGAGGCGGATCCACGGCTATGGTGGAGGTCTCCAAATTAGTTCCCTGTTGATTATGTTAGAAGGAGCAGCTTGTTGGGGTTGTTTGTGAAAGATTCTAACAATCTCGTTCGCTGCTGCAGTGATTGCAAAGGTCAAACTTCTGGAGATGATGTAGTTATTGGAGAAGATTTCTTCGTTTCGCGCATTCCACATTTTCCAGCAGTCTACAGCAAAAGAAGTCGACCAGGAAGTAGGAACCTGTGAGACAGAGGAAGCTAAGTTAGAGAGAATCCAGTTAGGCCACCTTAATTCGGTCCAAAAATTAGTGTCAAGATCTTTATTGACAAAAATGTCAAGTTTGTTTGGATTTGGGACGGTCTCTCAATAAATGAAGAAATGTCTCAGGTTGCAAACAGAAATGGCAACCATTCCAAGGCTCCCAAAATTCAGCTTGCAATTTTCAAGCTTGAAATATGAAATGCCGAAAGTTGGCCACACGAACTAGTTCTGTGGGCTAAAAACCAAACGATTGCATGATAATTATTTTTCGCCTTTTTTTCTTGGGCTGAAATTAAAGAACGAACTCTTGAATGAGCCTTATTGAACCCATACTGTCATTGATTCCCGCCCATAAAATTGCAACAATCCCAAGTTTTGTGCGGAAGAATGTTTGTTAACAATGTAGGCTCCATTTGGACAAATTTTTAGAAAGCCCTTTCATAAAAGTCTCTTCGGAGGAAAAATGTAGATAGTATTTTTGTCAAAAAAAATGCATTTGGAGGAAAAATGTAGATAGTATTTAAAAAGGCCTTCGGATTAGGCCTTTTCCAAAAGTACTTTAAGTGAACAAAATAATTAATGAACTTTTTTTTCAAGAAAAAAAGAAAATCATTTTCACATAATTTTTATTGTTAACACAAAGAAGTTGTAAAATAAAAATTTGAAAGAGATCTCCAAGAATAATAATTATACGTACAGGGAAAAAATGATAAGGAAAAATAACAAAAAATTGATCATAACCATTTATTTTAACACTTTGCATTTGAGGTTTAAACATTTAAGGTTAAGACAAAATTTAGATAATTGATACATCATTTCTTATAAGTTTTCCTTGTAATTTTTCCTTCCAAAAACTTGTCCAAAAGGAGCTTATATTTCATGCACTTTTTTTTTTCAAAAAGACCCTATATATTTTGGATAAATGCATTTTCTACTGTTAAAATGGTAAAAATATTTTTGAAACCTTGTCCAAATGGTGAAAATAGTTTTCAGTCCAAATGTCCAAAATAGTTTTCAGGACCGAAGGAAAACCTTTTATTAACTTTTTACCATACCAGAAGAGAAGTCCAACAATGTTGACCTGTAGAATATAGTATCATTATGATTATAATAATATAAACATCTTGCCACTCTACTTTTGTACCCATGGCCGGCCGTACAGGATCCATACATCTTCTCTTTGGCCCTCTTCACCAACAGAACACAAGAGAAAGCAAGAATTCTGAACCCCATATCCACACAAAAAAATGGCAAAACGTAAACTTAATTTAGTACCGTCTTCATTTACAAAACTGTTTGTTTTGCTACTCTCTCTCGAGTTTGCGATGGCGGGCACAACAATCAAATTTCTTCCAGGCTTTCAGGGACCACTCCCTTTTGAATTTGAGACAGGGTAATTTCTGCTTCCTTGCTCCATCCGTCTAATCAAAAATTAGAATCTTGTTGGTGAAATTAAATTAGTACAAGGTGATCCTAGTGTTATTATATACTACAGATTATGGGTCTTGGTTTTAAATGGTTCTTTTTCTTTTTGTTTTCATAAATGGAAATGATCAGATACATAGGAGTTGGTGAATCAGAGGAAGTGCAACTTTTCTACTACTTTGTAAAATCAGAATCAAATCCTAAGCTGGATCCTCTTATACTTTGGATGACTGGAGGCCCTGGTTGCTCATCATTCACTGCATTAGCCTATGAATTCGGTATAATCATGACTACATATTTCAAATCTTAACTATGTATTCAAATTATCTTGAAGAAATATAATCAGGTTTTTGAGACATCAATGTGAAAAATGGAACTCAGCCATGATGGTTTTAAGATTTAAGTTTATAAAAATTGGCAGTTCAACCTCAATCAACTTTCTTTCCTACACATCTTGTAGAAACTTTCACAATGAAATAACATATGGAACAGGACCAATAATGTTTGAAGATGTGGAGGAATCTGGCCGCTTACCGAGATTGGTTCTGAATCCGAATTCATGGACAGAAGTGCGTTTGGAATCCGATTCTTTTTTGCTGGAATTTTGAGACGTTGTTAACTGTAATATGTTTTTTTTAGGTTGCGAGCTTTATTTTTCTGGATACGCCTGCTGGGACTGGATTTTCCTATGCTACGAATCCTGAAGCTCTTAAATCAAATACAATGTCAGCATGCAATGAAGTTCATGAATTCATCAGAAAGGTAACGGAGTTTAGGGGAAATTATTCGAACAAATGCATGATCATAAGCTTCCAGAATTTTGACCTCTTCAATGTGTGCATTACAGTTCTTGATTCAGCATCCGGAGTTCATCTCGAATCCTTTCTATGTTGGTGGAGACTCCTTTTCTGGACTCATTGTTCCAATTGTTACCGAACTAATATCCAAGGGTAAACAAGATTCCTTAAAAATACCTGATCTTAAAGATGTACTCCCTCTGTCCCAAAATTATTGTCCAGTTTGGAATGGGACAGAGGAAATAGATATAATCTGATGTTTCAGTCCTGTTACTGTCCATTTTCGGCTCCAGTGGGATAATGTTGTGCTCTATGATATGATCGCTGTCTTGATGCAGGTAATGAAAATGGAGCACAACCACCGATTGATCTGAAGGTTAATTCTCCATTCTCATCTCTATCTTTGCTCTCTGGTGAATAAGCTTGGAAACAAATGATCGCCTTTTGAAAAAGATTTAACTGATTGCTTGTTAATTCAGCCTAAAATTCAACTTTAGACCTCACAAATTAAAATGGCTTCAGGGTTACTTACTTGGCAACCCGGTTACAGTTCCAACTGACAACAATTATCAAGTTCCATTTGTTCATGGAATGGGGATTCTTTCTGACGAACTCTATGAGGTAACTCATCTTCACTATCCCGGCCGTGTTTTCGTAGTAGTTCTTAATGCAAGAAAAGTCCTGACGTTTTTTTTGTTTCGGCAGTCACTGAAAACGAATTGTAAGGAAAATTATCAAGATATAGATCCCAGCAACTTACAGTGCGCAGATGATCTGAAGGCTTTTTATCCGGCAAGTAACAGTAACCTTCTTTCTTAATCTATGCTCATTTTTTTCTGTTCAGACAGTGAATTTTGTACTCAATGTAGTTACTTCGTCATCTTTCAATTGCAAACATTTTGGAACCGTCATGTCCCTCGCCAATGTCAAAAGACATGAACTCTGACGGATCTCTTGAAAAAGGATTTCTAGAGCTGAAGAGGCCGAAAAAGATGTGGTGCCGAGTAAGACTTTGATTATCTGAGAAGAATTCTACTTAGCAATCTCTTGGCTCAGGCTTTGTCCATTCTTAAGGTTTTGTATCTGTTATATTAAACACCAACTTGTGCTTTAGGATGAGGGATACTATTTTTCTCATACATGGTCAAATGCGGATGCTGTTCGGGATGCCCTCCAGATTCGGAAGGTACTTTCAAGTCTTTAAGAATGTTAACTTTCTAATTATGTGTAGCTGACAATGCATAAATATTTTGGTACATGAATGGCTGGGCGAAGGGAACAATTGGAGAGTGGCAACGGTGCAACTTTGCAGTGCCGTTCACCACGACAGTCCGGGATTGTGTACCATATCATGCAAACCTAAGCAAAAAGGGGTATAGATCTCTAATTTACAGGTTTGAAGTAGATTCTATATTTCTCACAGTTAATTCTACATCCGTATTGTTAGTTTAGGATTTACAAATTAATCTGCAACTTCTTCTTGCTGGAAATTATCATGTGTGCTATGTACAGTGGTGACCATGATTTGATAGTACCCTTCCTTGCAACTGAAGCTTGGATAAAGTCTCTAAACTACCCCATTATCGATGACTGGCGACAATGGTGCGTTGAAGTTCAGGTTGCAGGGTAAGTTCATTTTTGTTTACCACAAAAAACGAAAAAAAAAAAAAATTAATAAATAAAAGTGGTGATGCTATTCTGTTTCTCACAATACATAATTGAGATTGTATTCACTTGAACTAAATCAGGTTTTGACAATGTTGTGTAGATATACAAGGAAATATGCTCACCAAATGACATATGCCACAGTGAAGGCAAGGAGACTACTCATGGTTTTAACATTGGTTAGCTCAACAACCTTTTTCCTATTTTGTTCCCTAAATCGATACCTATTTTCAGGGTGGTGGCCATACTGCTCCTGAATACCGGCCAGTAGAATGCAAGGCCATGTTCAAAAGGTGGATATCAATAGACGCTTTGTAAGACAAAGGGGAATGATGGATGTTGATTCGAGTACTGATAAAATTTTGGAGTCATCAACTACGGTCATCACTATGTATGCTTAGGAAAAACCCAGACTTCAAAAACACACTCCGTCTGTGAATTTAGCTATGTACATTTTACAAACTCTAAAGGATTAAGGTTCGAAGATGCTTGTGAGAATAATTTGGAACTTCTCTGTTGTCGCCAAAATAAGAGATTTGGGTGTAAATGTAAGGACCTGTTTTGTTCCAATTCAGAAGTGCTGAACACATGCGGTTTTATTTCAAATAAGGGGACACACATTCATAAATTGTTTAGTCAAATTATGATGATCTCATCAATTTCATTTTCAAAATCCTGATAAGTATATGTATGCACTCCTGTTTCCATTCTTCGCAAGAAGAAACATTGGTATTGACTGATGAAGCTAGGCCATGAATCCACAATGGATTCTCGTGAGCCCTCATCACGGGTATGGCAAAAAGGACCCTGCCGGCACTATGAGTAAAGGAAGCTACCCATAGTCAGGAGAGTGCACAACACGCGCCGGGAGGAGAATGGATCACCGCAGGCGTGGAGCTCCCAATTAAAATTCTGATTTTCTTTTTTTTTTTTTTTACTTTTTACTATCTTTTTCAAACAATCATATCTTTTAATATATAAATAATTAGACAACGTATTATATATCAAATTAATCTACACGATGAGATCTTTCTATCAAGATCCATTGTTAATATTTTTAGAGTTAAAAATTGTATTCAAATTTATATACTAAAACCAATGTATATATACTTTAATAATTGTGTATATATTGTTTAACTATTATGTATATGAAAAGGTAAATTATTATTTCTTTTCTTTTTCATTTATTCTTCACTAATTACATTTTTGTTTCTTTTTTGGTAATTTTTTATTATTTTTTTAATTTTTAATGTATTTTAATTTTTTCCACAAATTATTTATATTTGATTGTATAAGAATTTAAGCATCATTCAAATTTAAATTTGTAATTGCTATTTTTATTTATGTCAAAAAAATTTTGTTATAAATTTATTATTACACTCTATACGTAATCGTATATCTCTCTATATATAAACATCTTTACATTTCTCAATATCCATATTAGTATGCCTTCGTATACATGTGTACGTCTTCATATACATTTTCGCATGCCTTCATATACATTGTCGCATGCTTTTATACACATGTATGTCTTCATATACATTTTCGTAGGGCTTCATATACATCTTGTGCGCCTTCGTATACGTTTCACATGTCTTCATATCCTATGTATACGAAGGTATAAAAAATGTATATGGAAACATACAATATCGATTATTTTCATATACATTTTCGTATACATGCATATACATTCTTGCCTGCTTTCATATATTCAGGTATTCATATACATATTCATGTCTTTATATACATATCTATGTATCTTTATATGCATTATCGCATGCCTTCATATACATTCTTATATACCTTCGTGTACATTTTTACATGCCTCCATATACATTAAAATAATATACATTCTTATATACCTTCGTGTACATTTTTACATGCCTCCATATACATTAAAATATTTTAGGGTTTATGGATTAGGGTTTAATCATTTCAATTAGGTTAGGATCTAGGGTTTAGGGTTCAGGGTTTAAGCATTTCAATTAAGTTAGGGTCTAGTGTTTAGGATTTATAGTTTAAGTATTTCAATTAGGTTAGGGTCTAGTGTTTAGGAATTAGGGTTTAAAATATCTCAATGAAGGCACATTACTTTGCATACATATAAAAATGTATATGAAGGTATACAAGAATGTATATGAAAACATACGTTATGTTGATATGTATATAAAGGAATGTGAAAATGTATATGAAGATATTCGATATATAAAAGTAAGGAAGAATCTATATGAATGTGTATAGAAATGTATATAAAGACATCCGAATAGGTTTACGAAGGTATACTACTATGTATATGACTTTAGTTTTGATTGTAATGATGATAAATTTAAATTTGGTATAAAATGATTTTATCAAATTTATGAGTCGTTAACTTAATTAAATTATTTAAAATTTGACATAAATTAAAATAAAAACTACAAATTTAAATTTGAATGCCGAATTTTTAAATTGTGAAGTATTAAACAGAAAGAAAGGAAATGAAAATTTACTTTTTCATGTACATAACAATTAAACAACATATACATTGTTTTTATCCATAAATTCTAATAAAATTTTTGATTTCAAAGATATTAACAATGAATCTAAATAGAAAAATCTCGTTGCGTAGATCAATTGGATATATGGTACGTTTTTAAATTATTTATATATTAAATGATATGATCATTTGAAAAAAATAGAAGAAAACTGAAAAAAAGATAAAGAAAAAGAGAAGTGGGGCTGAGAAAAGAGTGAGGGAGAGACGGCAAGAGAGAGAAAATTTTGGGGGGCTGAGCGTGTGCGTATTTATGTTTTTTCTCTTTTGTGGTGCCATAATGGGCTATTAGGCTCAATTTCTAATTACAAGTAGGGGCAGGGTCTTATTACTGCACATGCATTATTTCATATAAGCATATCATGTATAGATCTTACGCCTGTTTTGATATTTTAATGGTCTATTTGAATTAAGAAACGTATTTACACCAGTCACAACTGATCATCCCTTCGAAATATCTAACAATTACTGTGTACTAGATGGATTAGACGCGCTTTCCGCGTACACTATGTATGGTCATGTAATGTAAATTATATAAAAGAAAAAAATAATTTTTTAATAAGTAAAAATAATAAATCACATTGCTATCTAATACACTATCTACAAAATATGTTAACAAATTTATCAATATAGAAAATATATACTTTTACTTAGAGCAAATTGATATCACTAAAATGTGTCACTTCTTATTTCAGCAGAAGTGAGACATATTTTTCTGATTGGGAAAGAAATGACAAGACCAGTGAGAAATAAAATAAAATCAAGTTTCTATATCACCAAAATAAAACAACTAAAAAAGAAAAAAAATATCAAAAACAAAAACTAAGTTTGAGAAGGAAAAAAAAAAATCAAGAAGAAAAAAGATGGAGAAAAGCAATGAAAAGTAATCATCTCCAATAAACTTGAGAGTGAGAGGTAAAGACTTAAGAGAGAGGAGGGGAGGGAGGGAGAGAGAGAGAGATAGAGAGAGAAGTCACTAAATCTTAAACCCTTTAAAATTATACATAGATAAATGTAGGTTACATGACTTTTAATGTTCTTTTAAGTTATGGAACAATTCAAACTATCATTGAATAACCTATTAAAATCAAATAAAATAAGAGAAGAAGAAAAGACATTACAAAATTCAAAGAGGTTAGTATCACCAAAACCATTTTTAGACTGATCACATTCACTTAAGAACAAGAAATAACTTTTTTGTAATCTTAAAAACAAGAATTAATGGAATGGAGATAAAAAAAAATGTCATTATATTGTTTGATAATAAAGGACAATTTATTATTATAAAATTAGATATAAGGGAATAATTTATTAATCATAAAGTTGAATATAATGGTAATAAGTGAGATAATAATAAAATAATTAATAGGAGAAAATATTTATTAAAAAATATTTTAGACCAAATTAAATAAAGGACTACAAAACTAATTAATTGCATGGAAAAATAATTAACCAAACAAATAAATGTGAAAGACTACCAAACTCCAAAAATTATTCTGCAATTATAATATACTAGAGGGAATGGACGCGCTATACGCGTTCGTACATTTGACATGATATAAATTATATGACAAGAAAAATGCAAATTTTTAATATTAAAAGTTTTGAGAGTCCCTTAATTGTTCATTACACTTTCTAAACCCAACAAATAAACAAAAATTTGACAAATTTATCGATGGTAAACAAAATTTTTGGTAAATTTAGTGTACATATAAATAATATTTAAACTTTAAATAAAGTTGAAAAAAAAAAGAATGCACCAACAGAATCAATTAATTTCTTCATGACAACTAAAAGAAAACAACAACGAAACAAGAAAAAAAAGTATCAAAGATGAAAACTACAATATCATGTCTTTGTAAAGGTTTCTGGCGTCAATTCTTAAAAAATAGATGATAGCTAAATTTCAGAACAAAAAGAGGATGATGAACAAAACTAATAATTAGTTACCTTTAAGGATTTGGGGTAGAGTTAGAGATCACAATATATAGATAGCAAACAAGGTTGGAGTGAAAGAAAAGAGAGAATGATTATACTCTCACTGTTGGTAATATATATGGACCAAATTTATTTATGATACCAAACTCTTAATATTCTTTTTCAGTTATAAAATTATTTCTCAATGTTTCATTCATATGATCATTAAATTTTTTTTTAAAAAAAAAAAAGAGAAGAAGAAAAGACAATGAGGAGTTAAAAATGTTGAGAATAGTTAAAATTTATAACTGCCATATGACTTCTCAAATTCACCTAATAATTATTTTTGTAATCAAGAACTTCCAAATTGTAACTTCTAATTAAGTCTTTTTATCTTCTTGATCACATTTTATTATCTTTTTTTTTTAACTAAACACCCAAACATCATACATGGAAAAAATAACATCAATGTTAATGCATAAGAAAAGATAGCTAGAAAATCAAAGTTAATTAATGCATAAAGAAGGACTATCAAACCACCAAAACACATTCTGCAATTATATATAATGTTGAGTATGATAAATCTCTGTACCATTCGAACTCAAAACATCATTCATAAGCACATTGCTAAATATCACACCATAATTTCATAAATTTATTTTCACATTTCGTAACTACCAAACTGTATGTGGTGCATTTGTACTACTGTTCATCTTTTAAATTTTATATTTATTTGTGTGTCAATTTATCCCATATCATATATTACACTTGCTTTCATTTGTTTTATTGTACTAACCATTGGTTTATCTTGTTTTTATTTTATAAGATACAAATTTTCAAAGAAAACATTATTCACCTGCCTGCCTCAATTTCAAATTCAAGTTTGGACAATTTTGAAGACATTGTTTTCTATTAAACAAAAAGAAACATAATTAAAACTTTATATTCCATAAACAATGCAATGAGAATATAAGGAAAAACAAGTACAAGTATATTACATCAAACTCAAAATACTCCTCCTCTACTTGAAATAATTCCCATAATCAATAAGATAATTAATAGTATTAGGGGGCTTTAATGCACTTCGCACATGCATTCTTGAATGTACTGTAAGTATTTGTTTTGAGTTAAAAAATGTGCTATATGATTTAATTATTTATTCTAGTTGAGTCAAAGTACAACAAAATCAACTGTTGAAGTCGGATAAAATACACAAATTATAAGAAACAAATAAGTAACAAATTAACATTAAATTTTATTCAAATTTATGCTTTATAATTAGGATTCGATGAAGTATTTTGGAGTTTAGTTTCTTCTAAATATAGGGAAAAAGTTTCACCAAAAAAAAAATTTAGGGAAAAAGTTAGGATGTATAAATAGTCAAAAGCTAATTGTAAACTAATTGGGTTGGAATGAGTATAATCTTTGTAGTAACATGGTTGTCACTTGTCAGCCTATGGTAATTATAAATAATGAATTAGAAAGTATAATGAAGTGAATCTACATAAATTTTGCAGGAAACACACGATTTCTCCTTAAGTAAAATCTCGTTAAAAGAATTGAGTATGTTTTAGATGATACAAGAAACCCAATAACTACACCGTCAAATCAAAATCTACATCAAGTTCAAACGTTTCATCAAGAGAAATATGAACATTACTGAAGACAAAGTCCTCCTTATAAAAATAGAACCAGGTAATCTGCCACACCAAAACAATTGGAAATCCACAAATCCTAGCTAGCAGAATGCAAGAGGAGTAGATGACCAACATAAGTTTTGCTTAACGATATAGTTAGTTTTGAATGTATGTCCATGAGAGACAAATAGAGCATCAGCATACCTCTTTCCGTGAGAACTCCAATACTGCAAAAGAGAGAGGCAAATGCAACTGCAATAAAAAAAATTTGCGAATCTAGCCACAACCCACACAACCTCAAGAGCCATCTCTAAGAGCAATGTTATAAGTCATCACTATATGGTACTGGAAGAAGTGAGAGCACTTTTTGCTCCTCACAATTCCAAGATGTTCCTTTACCAAGAAATGTACAAGCATAAATCAAACTGATAATCTGTCTTAAAGTCTCAAAACAAGATAAGTTAAAAAAAAAAAAACCCAAAATTCTTTAAAAAGGGAGAGATGCATATGACAATATGCTTCTGCATGCAACAAAGGAACACAAAAAAGAAAAGTTAGGAAAATTACTTTTCAAATTTAATAGAACTCGATCTACAGGAGAAAAACATATAAATAAGCATGTTTTATAGTATTCTATTAGCATAATTATAAGCATGGATGTGATGGGAAGTCAAGGGGTGTACCTATAGCCAGTTAAATAGTCATCAAGAAGTTGTGGGGGAAAAGGAAGGGTGTTAAAGGTAAATTCAGAATTAGTTACAACTTAATGTGATAGTAATTCTTTCAGAAAAAATAAATGTGATAGTAAAAATATTAAAGATGTATTAATAATCATTGTGGTTTTGCTTCCCACGTGAGAATATGAAACTAGAGAATAAATCTTAGGCAAGTGGCACATGTGGAGGACTACCAAAACTTAAGAGATATTCTCCAATTATAGGTAGAAGAAGAAAAAATAGATAGGCCAAGGCATTCTTGAAAACAAAATATAATGTAAGAAGAGGAAGAGAAGAATTTGAGTGAGTGAATGAAGTTTAGTGTATGTGTACAAAAAAATTTGATTTTAGCCGTTATATATTTGTTAATTTTTTTGTGGTATATAGTCATCATATACGTGTGTGTGTCTAGATATATATATATATATATATAGATATATATAACTCTTCTAAAATTTTGTTGGTAAAATAGTAATGTAGTTTAATCATCATAGAAAATAAATGAAACTTATAACTTTGCATAAACATATGTTGTAAATTAAATTATACGATATAAGAAAATGAATCGTAGGTGGTATAACGCTTCTTATTATGAAATTAAATTGTAGTAAATATGTAGGGTGAATAACCTTCCCACAATAACGTAATAAAATGTGAGTATTATATCGATACTACTGTAATACTGAATAACAATAAAAATAAAGTTATGGTGGCTGAAATCGATCTATCTCACGATAGAAATAAAAATAAATAGTTATGTGGATGAAAAATCCATCCCGCAACAAAACTCAATAGTAATAAAAATAAATAGTTTTGTGGGCAAAAAATACACCCGGCAACAAAATTAAAATTGAATAAAGAGATTTTATATTTGCTTTCCATTGAACATTCATATTGATAATGTGTTTCGAAAACTACTGTCCATTACATAGTTCCAAGCAAAATGTTCTAATTAATTATTTCTTAAAGTGATGATATATTTAATTTATATAACTTAGCATTATAAACTTTTAATTTGATACTAAACAATGAATATTGGGTTTGTAAACAGATAAAAAAAATAAAATTGATGAATTTAATAAGTAGTGAATACTGTATACGGGAAAAAGGAAGAATTATATTGATTTCTCAATGTGGTGTTTGGTGCCACAAAACACATCAATTCAATATCATAGGCAAATGTTTTTTTTTTTTTAAAAAAAAAGAGAACTACAAAAGTATTATTTAAAGTTTTTTTAACTTATTTTTGTATTAAGGTTTCAACTTTATGGTCAAATCAATATTTGTCATTCACTATTTTACAACAAATACTCAAAAGAGAGAAAGATTATTATATTTGTAAAGGAAAGGCTGAAAGGGGAAGAACCGGGGTTATGATATTAGCGCGGAAACAAGCATTAATATGCGCCTTTACATGGCCAAATTTGATTTGTTGTTTGTTACTGGTCAACAAGACAAAGCAAGGATTATCGGAAAGGATATTTGGATCATTTTTGAGGATGTGTTTTTAGATATTTTCGCATTAAAAATGTAAAAATTTGTAGTGTAAATATTTAAAGGTGGGATATTAGCCTCTTTTAGAGAGTGATTTCTAGCCTCTCACTTCACATTCTGGAACACGCTGCCTCACTACAATTCTGCAGTCGTCAGCTCTTACATATATATTACCTTAACCTTTTTCTTTTTTTCCCTTTACCTGGTGCCAATAATTTATCCAATCTGGGGTGACTAAATTGGGACTAATCAGAGAAGTAAAATGGAACCCAAAACTCATTTCTTTATCGTCTTCTTAGTCTTCTTTGTATCACCTGCTGTAATTGCAGACCATGGAAGCTCCTACAACAATCCGAGTAGCATAGTTTTCACCACTTTGGGAAGATCAAGCTATTGTTTCGACATCTACTCTCTCCCGCTTGGGGCTTCCTCACTCATCAGTAGCTCTAACGAACTTCGGCTCACTGATGGAAATTCCGTTAATTTTAACGGCTTCTTCCCGTCAGCCTCATCGGTTGACCTGCTCTTTCCACCGCCGGATGATTCGATTGCTGCTCCCTATGCCCCGCTTCACCTCATCTACGTCACTGAACGGAATGGTTCCTCGCGTATCTTCCTGGACTCGCTTTACCATCACCGCACTGGATCAAGATCAATTCTCGAAGCGGAGGGTGATTTTACTCGTTTCCAGGTTCCCCTCGTCGGTTTGGAGCAATCCGATGGGCGAGTTCCCATGAAGGATAAGCCGACGCTGGTGGGTGAGCATCTGATTTACGTGTCGACTCATGAGAACTCGGGCGTGCCCCGAACGAGTTGGGCCGCTGTGTACTCGACCCACTTGAAGACCGGGTTGACAAGGAGGTTGACTCCGTATGGGGTGGCGGATTTCAGCCCCGCCGTTTCGCCGTCGGGAATTTGGACTGCGGTGGCGTCTGAGGGGAAGAGAGGATGGGAAGGCGAAGTACAGGAACTCCACACGGATATCTATGTCTTCCTGACTCGGGATGGCTCGCAACGAGTTAAAGTGGTCGAGCACGGCGGCTGGCCGAGCTGGGCTGATGATTCTACCTTTTACTTCCACCGGAGGTGTGAGGACGGATGGTGGAGCGTGTTCAGAGCGGTTCTTCCGAAGAGCGGTGGTTTGAGCGCCGACTCGGTGGTGATTCAGCGCGTCACCCCGCCGGGCCTTCACGCGTTCACACCTGCAGCCTCCGTCGCTGATGGCAGCTTCATAGCCGTCGCAACCAGAAGGCCGGGTTCGGATTTCCGTCACATCGAGCTGTACGACGTCTTATCCGGCAGATTCACCCCACTGACCCAGCATATCTCTCCCAACGCCCACCACTTAAACCCGTTTATCTCGGCGGATTCCATCCGGATCGGGTATCACAGATGCAGGGGATCCGACATTGGCGGTACGAAGAACCTGTTACTTGAGAATCTCGAGAACCCTTTCGCTGAAGAGGTCTCTCTTTTCCGATTAGACGGATCATTCCCTTCATTCTCACCGGGGGGAGACAGAATTGCCTTTGTGGACTTCACGGGGGTATTCGTGGTGAACAGCGATGGGTCGGGTTATCGAGAGGTTTTATCACAACCGGCTTTTACAACAGCGTGGGATTGGAAAAGAAAAGGCGTGGTTTACACCAGCACGGGGCCCACGTTTGCCAGCGAAAGCACGGAGGTGGATATCATCTCCATCAACGTTGATGACGAGAATTTGAGCTTCAAAAAGTTAACTGAAAATGGCGAAAACAATGCATTTCCTTCACCCTCACCCGACGGGAAATGGGTAGTCTTCCGGTCGGGTCGATCCGGACACAAGAACTTGTACATAATGGATGCCCTGGAAGGAGAATCGGGTGGGCTTTATCAGTTAACGGAGGGTCCATGGAGCGACACCATGGCGAACTGGTCCCCGGACGGGGAATGGATCGCCTTCGCATCCGACCGTGAAAATCCAGGCTCCGGTAGCTTCGAATTGTTTATGGTGCATCCAAACGGAACGGGGCTCCGGAAGTTGATCCAAAGGGGGTCAGGCGGCCGGACAAACCACCCATGGTTCAGCCCAGATGGTAAGTATATCGTTTTCACGTCGGACTACGCCGGAGTATCTGCAGAACCGATATCGAATCCTCATCATTACCAGCCCTACGGTGAAATATTCGTGATCAAATCAGATGGTTCCGGGATACGCAGATTAACCCATAATTCCTATGAAGATGGAACTCCTACATGGGGACCTAAATTCTTGAGGTTTGGTGATGTTGAGTGGCCTAATAGAGGAACACAATGTGATTTTGAGGATTGCCATTGGCTTAATATAAGAAGTCCCAGAATTGTTAAATATGGTGATGATCACACTTCAAGCTCTTTTCCCTCTAAGGATGATAAGCTTCAGTGTCCTCACTGAATTGCTGATGCTTGTTCTTCATGTTTAGATAATGTACACAGTAAGTGGTAGTAACTAATAACCCTCTGCTGTTTTTTTTCTTTTTTGTTTTTTTTTTTTTGAAAATGCCCCTCTCCTGTTTTATCAGGTATGCTCTTGTAAATTTTCTGCATTTTCTACAATAAATTAATGATACTTTATCTATCTCAACTTATGTGTACCATTTTTAATACAATTTATAACTACTTGTTGGAATGTTGGATCGAACGCGCTTCGCGCACTCCTATATTGTATGTGATAGGTATCGACATTTAAAGAGAATGAATAGTAACCTTTATATTGAGAACAAAGAAGTTGATGGTTTAATGAATCAATGGAACCCTTTATTAAAAAACAATTAGTGAACTTATCAACTCTTCTTCTAATTTAGCAACTCGGATATGATATCTTCTCTTATTTTTAAATTTCTGTATTGTGTAAAATTTTGGACCAAAATGAGGAAGAAGGCCTGGAGAGGGTTGAGGCCCTGTAAAGTCTAATTGACCGGTTTCTTCTATGGTAATATGGGAACAACATGCTGTGTCTCTTGGGATAGAACTCATCGCATGGACCTGAACTAAGGGCTAAGGTAGATCCAAGTTGCTTTCATACACTATTAGATTAGATGCTATGAATACTGACAACTTTGTTCAGTTTGGCAATTATTTGATGGAAGATAGCTGAAGTATAGGAAGGCTGTACAAATGTAAAGAACGATCTGCTATACACAAATTATACATGCTGACTATCGAGTTAGATTCAGAATATGGTCACTAAATTAACTTCAACATCTTCTTTCTTGGATGACATATGCTTCTGCCAATTAGAAACTATAGATTCAATTCAACCATTGGTAGAAACTCTTAACTTGATCAATCATTTTATATAGCGTACCCCGAAGTGCAGCAAGCCTAGCCGAGTCACAACGTCATATTCTGGCAAGTTTGGATGAACATGTCCATTGGCATTTAACACAAGGTTGTAATGAAGAAGCTCGAGCATGCAATCTTGTAGCTTCTGTAGGGCTTGATTCAGCAATAAGAGTTTCTGTTCTAAAAGTTGGAAAAAAAAAGACCTTCTTTGCCTCTGTCTTTCACTTCTTTGCATGTCTTGCAGGGACAAGTTTGATTAGAAGGTTGGTGATCACTTCCTTCTAATTTGCCAGTATCAGGTGGTAACTTCTTTCTGCTATAATGCAGGAAAAGCCTGTCCATTTTTTTTTTCCTCTTCATCTCATTCATCATGCTTTCTCCGAGTTAAGTTCTTCAAATGTTGCCGGTCCCCTACCTCACCATCATGTTGACTTGTAACCTTTGAAGTCTTATTTTCTGAACCATTGGTTTGAGAATTAGCTACCTTATCTATGCCTGGCCTTGGTTTTGGGATTCTCCTCCTAACAGATTTTGGTTTTTGCTTAGGGTTGCCTCCGAATTCATCTTGATGATCAGTTTTGCGTGTATCTTTCTGCACTTTGGCTCTAGCGTCAATAGGAGGGGCATCAGATGTAGTTTCTTGATGCCAGCTTTGGCTTTGACATAAGGAGGGGATGGATTTGTAGTAAAAAGGTTCCTTTTCATTGTTATCTTCCCCTGAAGTGATTGCACCATGTATTTCCTTATGTTGTTATGATCCACTTGAATATCTTTAATGGGGGTGCTAATCTCCTCTCCACCGTAGGATAGACCCATAAGTTTCGTCCATCTACTGCATCTTTAACACCATATTTTCTGAGAGATGCAAAGGTTAATGTTTTTGAAAAGGTGCAAAGGTTAATTTTATTCTCACAGAACCATATGCTGATGTTAAAATTCTGTTCTATCAAATTCAAGTCACGAAAAAATTGTATGCTTTCCTCCTATTCATAGTAAAAAATGCAGAAAAGGCTACTTAGAATGCTTACAGGTGCCGAGGGACGAGGAATTTTGTGTAGCTTCTGCTCAAAACTCTTTGAATCCCTGTCCCATTCCAAACCGCACTCTTGAGCTATGTCTTTAATCAGTTGAAGCTTGAGACCCCTTTCAAGAGGTCCTGATTTCAACTTATTGGCGAACTGCATCATTGGAATTCTGCTTTAAGTACATGTAATAATTTACCAATATGGTGATTTGTGTCTTCACTTGTGATGAAAGACATAACTATCTCTTTATTGACATAGAACTCGATGGAATTCCCATGTCTTTCAGTAAAGATAGTCCTTAGAACTATGATGAATTGAATTCAACAATTAATTGTGTGTCAAATTACTTAGTGACATTAATCATATTGCTGTGGCACACAATTCTCTGTGCTACTTTCTTGTGATATTCGATATGATACAATTCAATTACTCCTTATAAATTATGTAATTTGTGCTAATGCATCTGCCATAGTTACATATTTTCAATGTAGATAATTTTTATATTCTTATTTTATTTTTTATATCAATGTTTTGTTTTTTTAAATAAAATTTGACTATTTTTATTGAATTTTTTAACTATAAAAATTAAAATAAATAAGTTCTAATTCGAAAAAAGTGATCCTTTAGTCTTAAAATATATAAGTTCGAAAGTGATTGTAAATGATATACGTATTAACACAAATTATATAATTTATAAGGAGTAATTGGATTGTATCATAAGAAAGTGGCACAGAGAATCCCGTGCCGCCATTGCTGTAGACTCGTAGATTCCAGCAGAGAGCAATATGATAGCAAAGTAACTCGAGTCACATTTGTTTTCTATTTCTGAAATAAAGCTTAATTACTGAAAATATACCGAATTTGCGCTTAGTTGATTAGACTTAATCGTGCTTTAAAACCTAATCAGGCTCTGTGGAGAATGGTCAGTAAATTTCTCCTGTACCAATTCACCTGAAAATACTGGAATCATCATAGAATAGAAAACGAAAACATTTTCTAAAATGCTGAAGCTAAAATCTGGTTAATCTGTACATCAGCCAGAAGAAAATCTGAAAGATCTAGTGTTATTTCTGGGACAAGAAGGATCTTCATACAAGTTTTGTTTGTTTTTCTTTTTTCAATTAGTTACCACTTCTCTGCATCAGACCCACCCATCGACTACCACCAATGAGCAAGCCAGCTCGATGGCGCTCAACATATCAAAGCTGGTCTTCTTGGTCATGAAGCAATGCTGAAGAAATTCAGCCAGACATAGCACAAACCGTCAAGGAAATCATTCTTTCTTAGCTGCTTACATGTTGGAAGAACTCAGGAGGTATGGATGGAGGGCAGTGTTTCTTCGCGGCAAATTTATACTGATATATACAAAGGAAAGCAAGGAAAGAATGTCATAACCTGGCACCACATTATACACATGTAAAGAAGATAAAAAGCAACATTTCTTGAGTTTAACAGGGTGACTACCTTGTGCTGACTGTATTTCTCTCTGACAGCGGGCAAACTTGAATTGTAACTACTGCAGCAAAGGTTATGTAGAGCCATAACACAATCGTGTAAATCAGAGGGCTGGTATTGAGTGTAATGCCGCAACGTGGAATTCTGCGTTGGATGATCAATCAAAAAATCAAGTCAAGCAGGCAAAAAAGCCCAAGGTTAAAAAACACTAAAACAGAACAAGCTCTGTTATCAATAAATATGTTCAATTTTCAGAAGCATACCCATGGTCTATTAGCTGGCGCAAGAATGTATTTTGCCAAGAAAATTGTGGAAGCTGCAATTAGTGATGGAGCATAACAGAGCATGGAATACTCTAGAAGGGATAGCTCCGCTATGTAGTTAGCCAAGCATTCCAATTGTAATGACTGAGCCTGTGAATAGAAAGTACAAACAAGGTAAGAGTCCCGGATAATGAAGATAAACCTACACTATTCAGGACCTGCAGTAATAAGGTTGCAAAATTTTCAACAGTGTTGCACGATTAACCTACCTCATGGACTACCATTCCCTGAGCAGCACGCACAAATCTCCTACATTTTGTTGAAAGAAAATAGTTAGAAGCAAACTTGGTAGAAAAAACACATTGTCAAGGGTAAAAGCATTATAACCACCTCAGGAAACATTTAACTGTAGGAGCAGTCATTTCAAACTTTAGGTAATTGAGAACAGCAGATTCCATTTCCAAAACCTGCCAAGAGCATAATGTTAAACTTAATTCTTATCCATCATGAAGCAGGCAATTAATGCTGCAAAAATTCAGAGGAAAACTCACCTCATCTTTAAAGTATGTGTTATCAGTTATGTAGCAGAATTCTTCAACTTGAGGAGCACAAATTTCTTCATATTTGCTGCCAGATTCAATTAAATACGTGCTAGTTAGATAATAAAAAACTTAGTGGAGAATAAAATAAAATTACCAATGACCTCGATGGAGAAGCAGAGTAATAAGTGGGAATAATGGAAGCAAAAGGCATACGAGGCAATCATCATGCAAGCTACACCCAGCAACTGCAATCTTTGTCTATCCATCACATTGCCAGAAAGATACCGATCGATGTAGTTAACAGTTAGATACAAAGTCTCTGGAACTAGCCTGTACTCCTCAGCAACCTGCAATAAAATAATTGTCATAAGGAAGCCAATTTTGTGCCAATTACAAAAAAAAGGTCATTTAGGCAACAAAACTGTTAACTGTTACCCTGTTGGAAAAGCAAACTTCATGAGTACAGAATGACAGCTATATTGAAACAACGTAGAATAATAGTACTGCAAAGATTTACCTCCACAAGCCAGTCTATAAGTATTGCACGCATGTTGGCATTTATGTCTTTCTGGACCCTTTCCATGAAGTCGGTTGATGGCCTTTTCTTCATCTATCAACAAATAAGAAAAATATTAAAACACAAAAGAACTGGAAGAGTGATAGAATAGATTAAAGTTGATGAGAGTTTGAAAAGGAGTCATAAAGTTCAAACTATTATGAAAGTCAAAGTCTTCATACAGTTCAACATCACAGTACATTATTTCGAACACTGATTTAAAGGTTCCAGAATTCTAGTACAACCACAAGCATTTATCTGTCAGCATCATATATCCAGCTATGTCATACTTAATAGATCATGTACAAACCTCTGATGCTCTCAGGTGCTTGTAGATGTCACAAGCTATGGTTGCACATGACTGTGGGTCCATGAGATTGCCATCAACATCAATGATGTCATCACCCAACACCATGTTGGTGAGGATGTCTCTTTTGCATACAATCCCTGCACGCATAAGAAACTGCCTCATTTTGCACTCTAAGTATCACAATTTAATCCATACCCATATTGAAGCTTCCCTGTTATTCAAAAGGAAATTTAGGAGTATCAGGAACAATGTGACTTAATAGATCAATACCAGACCTGGTGTTTCAACATTTTCGGAGATGCATAATTTGTAGGCGGTCTTTTTCTCTATGGAATTCACTATCTCATTATTATCCAAATACTCGACTTCTGGACTCTTCAACGAATCACAAGTTGACATTGAGTCATCCATGGAAACAGTAAAACCATCAGACTGAGTTGGAGATACATCCATTCTGCTAGGTGCAAGAGCTGCAACCAATGTGCCGGTTCTCTGAGGAAACACATTCTTACTGGAAGCAACTACACTTGGTTTCACAAAGGAGGTTGCAGGCTCACTAGTCATGGAGAAGCTGCCATGAGCATTGCTAGCAGGGCCCCCCTTCTTGATGCTGACTATTTTAGTGGTGCATGGTACCTTCAAAATCAAACAAGAATTTTAAGTTATTACTACTTGAGCCTCTCACTTTCTAACTACAAATGAGACATTGTGGTGCGGCATTTGCTTCCCCCCTTTCAACTCTTCTGAACATTCAAAAATAAACTGAAAAAGCTTTTGATCTTAAAGCCAATATAGACACACATAACCTTTCTGCATTTTAGTCACGGGAAACAAATCCACAATAACAGGAGACAGAGAATGAGTTGAAAGGGGTGAAGATGGAAAGAACAAATCAAATAGTTTAAGCCAGACAAGGGAGTGTAACAAATTGGGTAATCTGTTATAACAACTATGGAGAATAAATCATACTATATTCAGAAAATTTTTTTGCATTTCGTAAGCCGTCCAGATGGCTTCATACAAATATTTTCCATTTAATTTCTTTTCAATTGGTACAATAATATTCAAAGACCAAAACTGTAATATCTCAGCATGCATAAAATTCAGATGGGATAGATATAAAAGTCCTTTTTTTTTTTATTAATCTGTATGAAAGTACTAATCCAACTCCCTTTTGTGACAATATTCATACTCACAGTCATCATGGAATAAAAATCCTATGAAATATTATTCCCAACAGGATTGAACAACCAAGAATTAAAAAACAACAAATAGCGAGTTACAACAGCAAGATCCAGGAAATCAGACAAACTATCCTAAGAAGGGCAATTACCCAGCAGATAAACTTTTTTGTCTGAACCCATTTTCGCTTAATCTATATTTTCAAATAAAACTTAAGAATTGATCGCAATTAAACGGAATACACCGTCAATAAAAATAAAATTATGAACCCAAGAAACTTTAATTACGCCACTAGAAGATGAAAAATAAAAAAAGGTAAAACAAACCCGTAATCTTGAGAATTAAAGAAACATACAATTTTGGATGAGTCGGAAAACGAGTTCCGGTTATTCGCCGTGAACCCTTGTGGCCTCTGGTTGGTGACATTAGCAAGAGCCGGTCGTTTCTTGGCCATTTGATGCTGCGGTGGAAACCCAGAAGTCACCGCTTTCCCCAAATTCTCCGATGAAGACGAGCGCTTGGCGGATGAAGAAGCTGTCGAGGACGTTAAACGGCGGTACTGATTCTGCCAAACCGTCGACATCTTTATGATGATGATTCAATTCCCAACGCAAGAACCGAAATTCCACTCGGAGATGGGGAGGGCACTAGCCTCAATTCTATGTACGTTTAAGCTTTTTCGTTTAGTTTCATTTCAGGGGAAAGAAAGATAGAAGAATCACTCTGAGTAAGAAATTGTAGGACGTTTAGCAAAGATGGTGATGATAGTATTATTGAATTGAAACGGAGAAAAGGGTTTGTTTTGTTTTTCTAGTGCGTGTGTGCGTGTTTTATTTTTGTGGAGAATATATTTTTTTTTATGGTTTTTCTTTTCGGGAAGGATATATTTGGGTGTTATTTAATGAGTTGTAATGATGCTTTTGAGGCGGGCAAAAAGGGAGCTTTGATTTGAATTGTGTGGGAATTGATCAGAGCCGTTTGATAATTTGGGTATTCGTTAGGAGCGGACAAAAAGTAGGGCCCACCGAGACCTTTTTCTTACAGTTTTTTGAATTAGAGTAGGGGACTGTGACAGTTGGATTATGACTGACCAATCATATGCGTTTATCTCTGTTTATTCTGAGGGGAGAGTGTCGTTTTGTCGTGTTAATATAGCCGTAGAGACTTTTGAATTCGTGCACTGTTTATTTATTGTTTGATTTTCTTGGGGGATTTTGAAATTCGAAATTTAAAACTTCCTGAGAATTGTGAACATTTAGCCATGAACCGTATGACGAGTTTTTCACTTTTTTTTTTGTCTGAGAAGCTGGCTCCTACAATCGTTCACATGATGAAAATAACTCACGAACAAAACCAATACTTAAATAAGAATCAAATTCGAATATTGAATTGGACAGAATATACAGCGTAATGATGATAAATTCGAATACTTATTTGAATAACAGAGATGCAGATTAGGATGATATTTGATCTCACGTGGACCAATTCACGAGTTCAAAAAGAACCAACAACCCAACTCAATCCGATGAGTATAACTATTGAATTCCAGCAAGGCCCTTTTCGAAAATCTTACAAGAAGAACCAATAGATATTGATCTATGGGAATATTGGCAGATACATCCCAACGTTTATCCTCTACTAGCCAATTCATCCCAAACTTTTAAAATTGAGTGATTTTATCCTAAAGTTTTTAAAATTAAGCGCAACCATCCATTAACCTGAAACAACACAAAATTAACCTGGTACAACAAGTGAAAATTGGTACTCTCTCTCTCTCTCTCTCTCTCTCTCTCTCTCTCTCTCTCTCTTAATTTTTAATATTTTTTTATAAAATTTTTCCAAACCTGGTTATGACCTTATTATGAAGAAACAATTGGTTTTTTATTTCTAATTTTTTATTTTTTAATATCTAAATAATGCATGGTGGATTTTGATTCCACCTGTTTCAAAAATAAATTGAAACCCTTACCTATATTTGGATCTTTTTTTTCCAATCAGTGTATGTTTTTAAGTATTTATTTTTGTATTAAGATTGTAAAAAGGTATGGTAGAAATGTAAAAAATATGCTGAAATTGGACATTTATTAATAAACTATTATGAAAAAATCATTGAAAAATTCCAAACAAATTGAAAATCGAGAGTTTTGTTCAGTAACGGTAACAATATTGGGAGAGATGAGGCCATGGAATGACATATTTAACTAGACTAAAATAAAAAAAATAAAAAAAGAATAATTGGCAAAAGAAATAAACATCGAACTAAGTAAAATTATGAAATTAAGTAAAATTTACTTGTTACTCCAGGTTAACAACATGTCATGAGATGGTTGCGCTCAATTTTAAAAACCTTGGAATATATTCACTCAATTTTAAAAGTTTCGAATGAATTGGCTAGCAGAGGGTAAACGTTGGGATGTATCCGCCAATATTTCCATTGATCTATAGCCCTTAAGTATCGAAATCAAAAGACAATGTTACTATAGACGCCACTTTCCAGTGAACCGCACAAGAAAGATAAGTCTTAAAGATCGTCACTACTCAAAGCAACAACCAAACTATTTGATCTACACAAAAACTAAAACTCAGAAAGGTTAAAACCTCACAAAATCAATTCAACTCAGTACATAGATCTTGAGGTGCGACCCCTCCCTTTTATAGGGGTGGTTGGCCGAATTTCTAAGTGAGAAAATAGGACACTTTCCCTAATTCTACGAATTCAAAGTAAAATTGGACTCTTTGACTCCTAGTCTTCTTTATGACCAAGAAAACGAACCTAGACTCTTTCATAGACCTAATACATTAGATCTAAGTGTGAAAAGAAATTAAAACTCCTATTACTAAGGAGATATTCTCGAAAAAAAAGCTTCCTCCTTGCGCCAAATCTTGCTGACAAAGTAATCTCCTTTTCTTGAGCTCCACTCAACCAATATCTGCCTTGTAGAGTATTTATTTGCCAAAAATAAATAACTAAAATAGAGGCTGGCCGAAACTCCTTCCTATATTGTAGGAATGGAAAGAATCTTGCCTTCCTTAACCCTTAAGCTAGGGTTCGGTCGCGTGCATGTTCCCTCGCGCGGTTATGGGCTCTTGGCTCAACAACGAAGCTTGAGTTGTGCCTCCATCTAGGTCTATGAGTCCATTTAATTGCACTTGTAGCACATTAACAATCTTGGACTTGTATCCAACATATTTAACCATCTCATTAGCCCATGTAGACATAACTAGATTGTTAAGAGCAGTCTTCACAGTCTTGGATCTTGAACGGGTGATCGGGCCAACAATGTTAGTCAATGGATCCCTAATATAAGGATTCTTCATAATTCGCTCATTACTAACATTCACAACCTTCACAAGTTCTTCTTCTCTAGCTTTATCATCCCCTTGATCTTCCATAGCTCGATGGTCTCCATCATCCCCCCTCTCTTTAAAAGAATTTGTCCTCGAATTCAATCCTTCGTCAAACTCGTAAGGTGATAGATTAGACACATTGAACATTTTCTTGTAGGCTGATCTCTCTCCTTCTGCGACAGCTCCATGGCATCGAACACTTCTAGCAAGCTTCACAGCAACTTCAACTTTCCTTCAAAATTTTCTGTGAAAATTCTCAACAACACACGCTACAAAACCATTAGTAGCATAGGAATTCCTATCGAATTCCATCCCTATCGATTTCACAAACCATCTAATCAAAGCATCAATAATTTCTTTAAACTTAATGATATAATCAAAAGTTTTAATAAATACGATCAATTTAGCATGCTTTTTACTTAGACGATTTTGTGAGTTTAAATGATTAAGAGACTCATGCTCAGTATGAATGATAAACTCTTTAGCTAACAAATAATGTTGCCAAGTCTCTAAGGCTCTCACCACCATCATATAATTCCTTATCGTAAGTTGGATAATTCAGACAAGCTCCATTTAACTTCTCACTCAAGTAAGCGATAGCTCTCTTATCTTGCATAAGTACAGCTCCTATTCCTATCCCGGATGCATCACATTCTAACTCAAAAGTCTTATCAAAATCAGGAAATGATAAGACTGGGGCAGTACACAAATCCTTCTTCAATTACTCAAACGCTTTCTCTTGAGAGGGTCCCCATACAAACTTAATATCCTTCTTCACTAATTCATTCAATGTGGCTGCTTTTGTATAAAAGTCCTTAACAAATCTCCTATAAAAACTAGCTAAACCATGAAAAGATCTTACTTGAGATACGTTAGTAGGTATAGGCCAATCTTTTATAGCTTGTATCTTAGACTCATCAACATGAATTCCCTTTCCACTAACAACAAAACCTATGAACACTACTTCCTTAACACAAAAGTTACACTTAGGTAAGTTAGCATATAGTTCCTCACTTCTTAGCGTTTGTAAAACTAACCTCACATGTTCAATATGTTCTTGCAAATCCTTAGAGTACACTAAGATATCATAATAGTACACTACTACGAATTTCCCAATATATTGCCGATTCATTAACCTCATGAAAGTACTAGGTGCATTAGTTAATCCAAAAGGCATTACTAACCACTTATACAATCCAAACTTAGTTTTGAATGCAGTTTTCCACTCATCTCCTTGTTTAACTCTAATTTGATGGTAACCAAATTTCAAATCAATTTTAGAAAATATTGTAGCACCATAAAGATCCTCAAGCATATCATCTAACCTAGGGATTGGATGCCTATACTTTATAGTAATTATTAACAGCACGACAATCATCACACATATGCCATGTACCATCTTTCTTAGGCATGTGCATTACTAACCACTCATACAATCCAAACTTAGTTTTGAATGCGCTTTTCCACTCGTCTCCTTGTTTAACTCTAAATTGATGGTAACCAGATTTCAAATCAATTTTTGAAAATATTGTAGCACCATAAAGATCCTCAAGCATATTATCCAACCTAGGGATTGGATGCCTATACTTTATAGTAATCTTATTAACAACACGACAATCATCACACATATGCCATGTACCATCTTTCTTAGGAACTAATATAACAGGAACAACACAAGGACTAAGTGATTCTCGAATTTGACATTTAGCAAGGAGTCCATCCACTTGCTTTTGTAGCTCTTTTGCTTCCTCTAGATTAGCACGATACGCCGGTTAGTTAGGTATAACGTAACCAGGTATTAGGTCAACTTGATGCTCTATCCCTCAGATGGGAGGGAGTTTGTCAGGCAACTCCTCAGTAAATACATCCGCATAGTCTTAGAGTAGCTTTTGAATTACCTTAGGTAAATTACTATTAGAATTGGTTAGCACAGAAGTTCTCTCATTAAATAAAACGAAATACATACCTTTGCCTTCTGCATAACACTTCTCTACCATTTTAGGACTAGCAAAGAAGTTCTTGCCAATCTTGCCTTGCTTGATTCTTCTTTGGAACCTCCTTTTCAACTTTAGAAGTTGAATCCTTAGCTTCGTTGGAACCTGTTCGCCTCTTTTCTCTTTCTTTATCCATTTGTAGATTACATTCTTGAATTTGTAAAGGTGAAAGAGGTGATAAATTATAACACTTTCTATCTATTACAAAGGAACACTTATTTGTAAATCCATCATGCTTGGT